TATCTTTGCACCCCTCCCCCCATAAACTCATACATCTAGCATTGCTACCCTATCATATCGAAAGTTACATAAGATTGCAAAGTTTCAGAATCAAGGTGTATCGCTGAAAAAGATACATTGTATCAAAGATTGCGGGTACGGGGTCATTTAGAGGGCAATTCCTTGTGAATCTTGGACTCAGGCCGGTGATCTATGCACTTTTTCTCATATCAATTTTTAATGATAGAGGTCGCACCAGGGTCCCTACCCTCTCCATAAGCCACTGCAAGAATCCTATCTATACATCTTTGCGCATAACTGTCACACTCATGTGCACTGAACTCTGCCATGATGACAACTGTTTGAAATTTGCAATACAGAAACAGAAACTCAATTTCCCATTAAAATTGCCCTCGAACTGACCAGAAATACCCCTCAAAATGACCCGTACCCACATACTTTGATACGGCACTTCTTTTTTCAGGGATACCGCTGGATTCTGAAACTTTGCAATCTTATGTAACTTTCCATAAGGAGCAAAATATATATAACATGATGGTGTGGCAATATGACATGTATGAGTTTATGGGGGATGTATACATATGAAACACCCTGTATGCATATATTAGTTAAAGTGTCTCCATACAAAGAAAGATATTTACTGGTTGTGTTGAAGTGATTGTGCCAACAAAACCCAGTATATTGTGTCAGCACAATACAAAAATGATAAATAACAATTAGCTCTTCTATAGTCTTTGGTGATTCCCTAGAATGCCATGGAGGTGCTTTAATAGCCCCCTTTTATTCCTTAATAGCTTTACTGATAACCAGTATGCCCTGGTTGTGCTTTAATAACCCCTATTGATTCCTTAATAGCCCTTGGGGACTGTTTAGAATCCTTGGTGTCTGGTTGTGCTTTAATAACCCCTATTGATTCCTTAGTAGCCCTTGGGGACAACTTAGAATGCTTGGTGTTGTTTTAGTAATCCTGTTTGGTTCTTTAATAGCTTTAGTAATGGCCTTAGTGATAAGATCGCATGCCCTGGTAAGGCCTGGTTGTGCTTTAATAACCCTTATTGGTTCATCAATAGTCTAGGCAATAACCTAGTATATCCTGGTTGTGCTTTAAACATATGGTTAATGCTTGGTTATGCTTTGATTTCCCCCATTGGTTCATTAAATAGCCTTAGCAATTACCTACATGTAGTATGCCCTGGTTGTGGTTTAATACACCAAATTGGTTCCTTGGTAGTCTGGTTGTGCTTTAAACATATGTTTCCTAAAAGACCTTTGTGATGCTTGGTTGTGCTTAACTCCTATCAGGTTCATAAAATAACATTAGCAATAACCGAGTATGGCTGGTTGTGGTTTAATATCCCAAATTGGTTCCTTTTAAAGTGATAACCTAGTATGCCCTGATTGGCTCTGATTGAACTTGATACCCACAATTGGTTCCTAAATAACACTAAGTGATTCCTCAGTTTGCTTAGTGATGCTTTAATAATCCCTATTGGTTTCTAAATCTGCCCTAGTACTCCCTAATATGCCTTGCTGGTTCTTTGATAGTCACAATTGGTACTTTAATATCCATTAGTGATTCCCAAAGATGCCCTTGTTGTCCTTTTGTCACCCACATTGGTTCCATGTAGCCTCTAGCGATTCCCTAGTATACCCAGGAAGTGTTTAAATTCATAGCTCTTGGAGACCCCTAGTATGCCTTGTGGTGCTGCAGTATTCCTTCATGGTTTCCTAGATACCCTGATTGGTTCAATGGTCTTTCTCTTGAAAGCTCATGATGGTTCCAAGTAGGTCATCATGGTGTTCTGTTAGCCCCTAAAGAGCACTACAAGGCATATTAGGAAGCACTAATGGGTATTTAGAAACTAATTAAAGCTCTCTGGGTATACTAAGGAATTGATAAGGGATATAATGAAACAAATATGGGGTATTATGGCACAACCAGTGCATATTATGATAGCACTAAGGCTATAAAATAACCAAATAACCAAAAAAGGATATTAAAGCACCTCTTTCAGTCTTTAGCTTACTAGGGGTTCAGTTAAGACTATTGAAAAACCAACTAGGGATATGGTATGTGTAATATTTTTGTATTGTGCTGAACTTATTGACTGGGTTGTGCTGGCACAATTCCTGCAACACAACCAATAAATACCTTTCTTTGTTTATGGAGAAATATTAATGCATGTACACTTAACAAATATATATATTATTTCTCGTCTTCCTGACCAATAGATACAAAGATACAACATACGAAGAAAAATACTTTCTGCTGGTTGTGTTATGATGATTCTTCGAAAAAACATACATACAGTATCACAGTGACATCAGATTAATAAGTTCTTGCATTACTTACAACACTTTCAAAAAGCTTGATAAGATGGTAATTACAGTTACCACTTCCCTTGCACTTACAAAACATGCAACAATTAATTTTGTTCAGTTCACATAATCTGTTTTGTACGGTGTACCACACTTACTATAATAAAAAATTAGATGGAAGTAGAAATAATCTTGATTTGCGCCATTAAAAATTCAGTCAAAGTGATATCATATTTGAAATCTACATGTAAAATTACATCTAGGAATGTGTTTTTGCAACTTTGAAAATTTAATTTTCTTTGAAAATGCAATTTCTAGGTCGAAGAGATTCTCCATAGACCCCATGTTAATAAAATCACAAGAAGTGAAATATCTTTGCTTGTATTGGACAGATAATATTTTCTTTTACTGGGTATAATTTTTAATTTGTACTGTATATAACTATCAGATACATAAGGTGATATGAAAATTGAAACACTAAAGCTGATGAATATTCAAGTTTAGGGGAATTTTCTAATACCCGGCCATGTTCGGCCCCGAATTAGCCTCCTGGCGGTGAAACTGGTAACTGCCTATTCGCATCTGGTTTATCACATTGTAAAATCAGATCATCAGGTGATATACAGAATATCCTTTGTATCAAGATCATTTTCAAGAACGAAGCCATATTCCAATGGGTCAAGCTGAGTATTTGATAAAGTCAGATACCGTTGTCACAAATGGCGGACATAACTGTCGCTTCAACTCTTTAATCACTTGGTCCTCATTTCTCATGGGATTTTATCATCACTAATTCTGTGCATGTATTAAGCTCATGTGATGATGTATTATATGAAATCCAAATTTCTATCAAATGGGGTCGTGAATCGCCACAATATAGCGTCTTCGATATCGTCAATGACAACAGAAGCTGAATTTGAGATAATTTACAAAGACAACAGCATATGGTAAATTATTTATTTATTTAGGAGCAAAGGTTAACTATTAAGTCTCCCACACACACAAGTCTTCAAATTCAAGGATATTTTCAAGCCTAAATCTTGAACGAAACATAAGTTACAGTGAGTTATAGAAGCTATAGTGTATGTATCCCTATATAAGGGGTGTTTAAGAGGTAAATCAATAATTTCTGCTTAAATTTTTTATTATTATTTCTTTTAAATGAACTACAGTCATCTATATTGGTCTAAAATGAAAGAAAAGTATTAATACTATGCATGGGTATAAGGTGTGGAAAGTAAATTAAAAAGTATAGATGATGGTTTATCTGAAAATAATACAAATCCAAATTATATGGAAATACGTTTTATTTTTTTTCTCAAAAAGTGATAAAGCTATGAACATAGGGTTACTGCAGTCTCTCAACACCATAATTATACATATTCAGGAATATTTTTAAGCCCAAATCCTGAATAACACAAAAGTTACGGAAGTTAACTTAAGTATCCCCTTTAAAATAGGGGGCGTTTTAAGGGGTTAATCAACTATTTCTCCATAAATTATGATTTTCACACATTGAAAAAATTTTTAATGCATAATTTAATGTACCATTGATCAATTTAAGCTATTTGAGATGTCTTTATGTTTCAGTTATGAAAATAATAATTAGTTTTAAGTTTGGGGGTGAATTGTAGGGGGCGCCACCTATAGGACCATTTTTCACATTCGTTGCCGGGGCTAGGACAGAGAACCCAAGCTCAAAATAAGCCCAAGACCTTGCTCTATATGAATCCAGTGAGAAACTTAGGGGACAAACTTATTTTTTAAAATTTGCTCAGCTGCTGACCTATTTATCAAACTGACATTTCTGAGTTTGTTATTTCTTTATCAAGCACCAATCAATCAATTTTATGAACCTACACATAGTTAGGCTTCAGTACTTTCTAATTACCGTATGTTAACAGATTCTTGAGCAGTGCTCATGTTATTTCTATACAACTACAGCAAACATTTATCCTGAAACTGAAATTTAAAAAAATGGAATGTACGGGGCACATCCAAAAGCGGATGGGCAAAAGACTCATGACGCTCATAAAAAACTGTAAGGGGGAATCATTCATTGATGACAATGGACGACGGCAAAAGGGTATTTGAGGTGCTGGGAAGTTAACCCTGAAGCAAATCCAATCCATTCAGGGACACTATGGGGCTGCCATTCGTGACAATCCTGGGAATCTACAGAATATGACAAATGCGATTTGGGCCATTTTCAATCATAGGAATAAAAATCATGCCAACTGCAAACCATAATGGCCATGTTATCAACACAACATCCGATTTGGTAGTCTGAGCTGGCCACATGAAAATGTTTTTATACTATTTTATAGATGTCGTTGTACCATATTTTCTGATATTTTCAAGAATTTAGCCCCCGTAAGAACAGTGATTATTCTGACATAGAGGAACTTCCGTTTGCAAAATTTCTGAACATAATTCAACTTTTTTCCAGGTTTGTTGTGCTTTTTACCGTTTTTCCTGGCGTCATTTCGTTCTCAAGTTACACCATTTGTAAGATAAGGTAGAATTACGCGGGTAATACGTCGCCTTTATGATGTTCTTCTGAGGAATTTATAGTTTTATTTAAAAAATTAATATCACAGAAATTGTTTTCCATGTTTGATTCATCGAAAAATCAACTTTGTCAATTTATCTCACTTAACAATTTTATATAACATCAAGAGGTTAAATTTGCCTATCACGCTAGGTGCTAAAAACAAGATGCCGCGAGTCAACAATCCTAATGGGGTTTATTTCCGTGCGGTGCATTATCGATTTTTTAAAAAACAGCGCTATCCATCAATTACGCCGAGCGTAAAAAGCATTAAATCAAGTGGCCAGTTTAGAGCTCCAAATCGGACATCATGCAAAGATGTGTATGATGGAAGCATGTACCAGGTACACTTTCGTCCAGGGGGGCTTTTGCAGAATCCTAACAACATATCTCTACTTTGGCACCTTGATGGAGGAAGTGTTTTCAACTAACAGTGTTGAGATTTGGCTACGACAAGCATATGTTAATGAACCGTCACCATGGATGAGGTATGTTTAATTAAGAGTTAGATAGAATTGATAATGATGTCAGTAAAGAAAATGACTTAATTTTACGATTCACAAATATTCAAACAAACAAAAATTTTGGCAAAAAATCAAAAAAATCAAAAATCCAGATAGTTTAAGTTCTTTAATAGAATAAAAAATGTGTAAATTTCTTGCCTAAATTATTTATGATTGTAACTATTAGTTTGTATTTTGGACTTGGAAAGTGTAAATATGAGAAGAAAACAAATCTGTGTTCATGCACTTGCACTAACAGAAATGCAATATGGGATAGGTGGAATACCTCAACAACCAAAAAACCTTGGAACCCTTATAATACAGATTTAAAGTACTTTTGTGTTATTGTTGTAAGGTATTTCCAAGATCATATTTTGCAGTTTCTTTTTTTCGGTGACTTATGATGTCATGATGACATCATCTAATTTGCATAATTGATTCAATTATATGTAAATAGGATAGTCTATGCTCTAGGGTTAAATTTGATACCCCAATTGTAATGATTGGTTGAATACTATGGAAATTACAGTATATTTTTTTGTAATTTTAGGCAGTTATTGATAAAATCCCAAAAACCCTCAGTACAGAAGGACTTAACAAAGACAAACCTATAAGGTTTGGTTTCAAACTCTTCGTTTTGGCAGAGTGCCACAGGATTCACACTTGGGTTTGATGTTTATACTGGAAAAAACGAATCAACCCATTGGTGCGAATGGCCTTGGCTATGATGCATTAATGAGGTTGATGGAGGGTCTCTTGGATCAGGGCTATAAAGTGTGCTTTTTTCAATAATAAATACTCTTTTATTTCTCAAAAATCATAAATAAATTTACATTATTAATCACAGCGTATTCGTCCACAAAGGGCATTTCTACTGCCGCTTTAAGTGAATTTAATTTACAATATGATTACATTAAGTCATAGTTAGTAGAAGAAAAATATAGATTTAAATACAATCTGTTTTTCTACATGTCTGTAGTTGGTGCCCTGAAATTGAATTACCGTTACCGTGTTTAATGAAATTTAAAACTACCTTAAATATTTTGGAATTGTTTTCATTTGTCAGATCCTTGTTGCCAAAAAGTAGGAAATTAGTCTTGTTTTTTAATGTTTTGTTTTTAGTTACATCTAAGTTTAGTTCTGATTCTTCACAGATCTTTGTATACAGTTTACTCTGAAGAATAAATTTTTTGAATGCTTTAATGTTTTACTATGTACTACCTTTTGATGGTTTTATCAGCTGCAATTTGATAATCAATAAAAAATATAACATGGAATTGGTCATTTTTAATCATTGAAAAAATATTTTTGTTTGCAGGAACTCTCAGCTCAGCTGAAAAGTACATTGACGCCAGACCTCATTACCAGTTTAGAGGCAGATGGCCTTTCCAGGAATGTAGAAGTTTCCAGAGTATTTCAACTCATTGCAGAATTTAGAAGTACAACAGTAACTGTATTGACAGTGAGAAGGGACAGAGTTTATTCCAAATCATCCTATCATCCCGTTTATGGCAAAATGCAGAGAGAAGTGCTTGTGGGACATTTAGAAGAACACCATTATGTCCCTATTAAAAAGGTATGTGTTGCCTTGAACTTTTCTGGTATGTTTCAATTTGATTTTTTTTAATTCATTATTTTCCAGAATTGATACATGAATTAAAGGTGCCCAGTTTGGACTTTTTAAAAGCATGTCGAAAGAAATTTTTCATCTCAATCCAAGATACCTGCAAATTGTCAAAACATTGGCATAGATCTTCTGCTGTTAGACTAAATAGGCCAAAATAAAAACTATTAAAAATTTAAAAGCGGAATTACTGACAGAGCAAAATGAGCTAGATGAAAATAAAAAACAACTTAAGAAAACCAAATCATTGAAGCAACTACAGGGTGTCCCAGAAGTAATGATAATTATGCTCTTAAAATTTTATTTGACAATTCATACAAATTAAAGTTTAAGATATAAGCTTCATTTTGCTATATTACATTTATGAATTTATATAAAAATATTCCATGTATAGTTGCCATAGCAACATGTATGCGCGTTCTGCGGAGCAGTTTCCGTATATTATAAATGTTCAAACTTAGTTTAGAAAATTTTAATGTGAAGGGAAAAAAACAAGATGGCTGTTATTAGATGTAAGAAATATCAGTAAAATAGCCTCCCTTTTAAATTTTTTGGGTAAAATATGTCACGTATTCTACGAATTTTTTTTTAGCCGATTCTCTTCTTAGGTATAAGATCTATTAAAAAAGGCGCAATGCCACCAATGTGCAAAAGTCAACGTTTTTGCTTTAAATCAAGCATCAACGGTCTACACAACTTACAATAAATATTTGTAAGTGACATTATCATCATAAAATTAATGACCTTAATGACTTTACAAAATATGCTTCCATACGTTGTATAAAAAATAATCGAAAATAATTAAAATGGGACGGAGGGGGGGGGGGGGGGGGGGGGGGGGGGGGGGAGGGGACAGAGGGGGAGGACAAAAACAATGAGAAAATATCCTGAAGTAGCTACATACATGGAGAATATAGACCCTGTAAGGAACCCTTGCCTGTACTGTGACAAGAGTTTAACAAGGCGTAGCACCCTCAAAAGACACTTGATTGACTTTCAAGCGCACTAGTTTACTGCTGATGATTACACTGACGCAATGGAAGAAGAAGACCGGCATGTCTTAATTTTGGACAGTCTTTATTTTACAAAACCCGGGCTATCATATCCAAGAGAGGAAGCAAACTTATTGATTCTTTTGTAAAACTGATGTTGCTATTTTCTCTTAATTTCTCTTCTGCTGCAGGACTTTTGTATTTTTCTTTCACAATGGCTGGTACCCATGCTGACATATCTCACTTGTAGAAGAGAACTTTGAACAAAAGCCCATCAATAAGGGAATATTTGAAAAGCTGAAGAAAATCATCAATGCACCTTAATCCAGTAGACCGAAATACTGTAGCAACTATCAACACAAAAGAAATCTGACAGATAATGACAGATCAGATTAGGTAAGTGTGGCTGTTGCAGAGTGTGACATTAGGAGTACCATTAGATTTTATGTACTATCAAGAATAAGTAAGAGGACACTGCCAGAGACATACATGGTCTTGTAGTGTATGGACAAGGTGTTCTATCTGCTCTGAGGATCACTAGGTAGTATTGTAAATTTGTTCCATTAGTGTTCCTGCAGTCTATTGATGCAACATCGGTTTTAGGAAACAATTTCAATAGCAGTAGTAACCAAATATGTCAGACATTTGAAGTAAGTTCTTGGATGCATTTAACAAGAATAAGGCTTAGTTCAATATGAGCATTATAGTGTTGAAGGATGACCAGCTGGAAATAGCTTATCAATGTTACAAGAAGGATACCATTGCCTTAATTCCTACAGGATATGAAAAAACTATGTGCCTTTCAAACTGAGGACATGAAAAACAACTGTCGTTTTCTAAAAGATGGGACTGTTATTCAGTTTGACACAACATTTAATAGTTTTTGTTACTTTGTGACTAATTTCACATTGCAAGACAAGTCAAAAGTAAATGATAAGGATAAATGTAATTTCAATTTTATTTTAATAAATTGTTCATGATCTTGTCAACCAAATCCCAGCAATTAAGACAAAAAATATATAAACTATGTGCTGTCCCCTCAGTTTTATGTGAAAAAGTCGTTTTGGGTACTATTTCCCGAGTTAATATAAGACACTAAACTGTCCCTTTCCCTAATTAACTCGGTAAATAGTACCCAGTCCATGTTAAATTGCCATTGAAAAAGTCATTTTGGTTACTATTTACCGAGTTAATATAAGACACTAAACTGTTTCTTCCCCTATATTAACTCGGTAAATAGTACACAACGCATGTTAAACTGCCATTGAAAAGGTCGTTTTGGGTACTATTTACCGAGTTAATGTAAGACACTGAACTGATCCCTTCCCCTATATTAACTCGGTAAATAGTAGTGGTCGGACTCGCCTGAAAATCTCCACTCGAGTGGGCCATGAAAAACCACGATTATAATCGCGATTTGACTTGTAGTTGAGTTACTTCCGGTTTCAGTTTCCGAAGTAGCGGCAGAATTCATCAATTTGATCAAGTCTTTCAAGTGCCTCTATACTTTTTATTGTCTAAATCGTATTGCACATCCCTATAGATCGTTAAAGTTCACCCCTAGTCCCCTATAGATAGTAAAACTTACCGAATAAATAGTGAAAACAAACTTTGTCAATCCAGAAAGTTCCAGGATGCACCGCGGTAGACAAATATTTTAAAATTCCCGGCTGTTGGATATTCCCAGAATGCATCAAACCGGAAATGAAACTTTTGCATAAAAATAACGAACACAGAATAAAATCCGAGTATGTTTGTCTTCCGCACATGGCATTAAATAGAAAATAAGTTGTTTTCTATACAGATTAAGCAGAACATTACAACTATAAGCATGGAAATTGCGAATAGGAGAGACGAATCGCGAGTCAAGGTAAGGTGAAAACGAGTGAAAAATAATTTTTGGTAAACATTTCAAATCGCGAGTTCAAGTTTTCAACTCGATCAATTGATTTTTAGGACAAATGCGAGTAAAACTCGAGTACACGAGTCAGTCTTCCAACCACTAGTAAATAGTACCCATCCCACGTTAAATTGCCATTGAAAAAGTCGTTTTGGGTACTTTATAAAGAATATAATAAATAAACTGAAACAAGAATTTATGTTGTCATTTTTAATTTATTTTTTAATTTATTAATATGTTTGTAATTTTATAAGAATTAAAATTACATCATAATTTTTATTACAAAAATCCATAGTCGGAGTGTATGATTCATACACTAATAAGGCTAATCATAAAATAAATTTTGGACTTAAATCCACTTACTTGTAAAGTAAAAGAAAGGTCAAGACCTTGTATTGTCATTGTGTCTAAGTAAGTGAAAGAAAAGATC